CCATCGATATACGATCAGAGGTAACGTTTCCTTCACTCCAGGACACAGCTTTTCTAGGATGTAGTTAACCAACCACAATGCTTGTCATTGACTAATTGACTGTCTCAAAGAAAAACGTGACAAAGTAGCATGAGGTGACACACGGCAGGCCCCGCAGATGTTTTAGCACACAGGACACGTCGCACTCTCGCCTACATATCGGGCACTCGACACGCACGATCTCCGCAGAGGGTTGTCCGCGTGCAGAACCAATCGCGCTCTCGCCTGTATTTCGCGCACTCGACACGCGCAATCTCCGCAGAGGGTTGCGCGGGCACCGGACAAATCGCACTCTCGCCTGCATTTCGCGCACTCACTCGACACGCGCGATCTCCGCAGAGAATTGCGCGGGTACCGGACACGTCGCACTCTGGCCTGCATTTCGCGCACTCGACGCGCGCGATCTCCGCAGAGGGTTGCGCGCGGACCGCACCAATCGCACTCTCGCCTGCATTTCGCGCACTCGACACACTCGACGCGCGCGATCTCCACAGAGGGTTGCGCGGGCACCGGACAAATCGCACTCTCGCCTGCATTTCGCGCACTCGACACGCACGATCTCCGCAGAGGGTTGCGCGGGCATGGGACACATCGCACTCTCGCCTGCATTTCGCGCACTCGACACGCGCGATCTCCGCAGAGGGTTGCGCGGGCATGGGACAAATCGCACTCTCGCCTGCATTTCGCGCACTCGACACGCGCGATCTCCGCAGAGGGTTGCGCGCGCAGGGGACAAATCGCACTCTCGCCTGCATTTCGCGCACTTGACACGCACGATCTCCGCAGAGGGTTGCGCGGTAATATGACAGATCGCGCTCGCGCCTGCATTTCGCGCGCTCGACGCGCACGATCTCCGCACAGGGTTGCATTTTCGGTTGACGCTGTTCGTCCCACCCTCCGCCTTTAAGAGAGAATTAATAAAGTGGGGAAATGTTTTTCATTAGGACATCTCCCGTGCACGTTTTCCATACTCACGCTTGCGTGCTCATTGCGTACTCATTATCATTAGGACATCTCCCGTGCAAGTTTTCCAAACTCACACTTGCCGTTGGATGCTTTCACTCTTCCACTTACACTGGGATACGTATAAAAGTGTAAGTCTTCATGCTCATGTTCAAGTGTAAGTGTGGAAGCGTAAGTGTTCAAGTGTAAGTGTAGAAATGTCAGTGTTCAAGTGCAAGTGTGGAAGTGTCAGTGTGTAAGTGTCAGTGTTCAAGTGCAAGTGTGGAAGTGTCAGTGTGTAAGTGTAAGTGTCGAAGTGTCAGTGTTCAAGGGATTTTCCGGAAGAACCCTTCGCAATGCTTTCGGGAAAAAGTTCACACCAGGTTGAAACGGCTGGCCTTTGGCGCAGATTTGGCAGAGGATTTGGCCTGGACGTTTAGCCATGGCATGTCATAGCAAGCGGAATCTAGCCATCTTGTTGGTTGCGCTGATTCAAAGCCGTCTTTTGCGTATTTGCTTCGAGTGGTAGACAAACAAACAAACCAACAAACAAACAGACAGACAAACAAACCAACAAACCAACAAACAAACAGACAGACAAACAAACAAACAAACCAACAAAC